GCCGCCCACACTACCCAAAGGTCTCTGGGTGGCTTACAATAATTAAAATTCAATACAGTAAAAGATAAAATAATTAAAATACAATTAAGATAAAATTGCCATCAGACCCACAGCTAATATTATTTCAATTAAAAGCCTTCTGGAACAGGAAGGTTTTGACCTGGCGCCGAAATATCATCAGCGTCGGCGCCAGACGAATCTCAGTCGGGAGGGCATTCCATAGTCTGGGGGCAGCTGCCGAAAAGGCCCTTTCACGTTCTTCTCATGTAATTTCATGTTCTTCTGCACCAGATCTCTGTTCCATCTTATTCTGCAATGCTATGAAATTATTAACAACTATAAATTTAGTCATGATTAACATAAGGTCCATTGATTTTAATGGGTGGAGTTCAACTCCTAATCCCAATGACTGTAAACCCATTGAGTCAGTGGGATTTACATAATTGGTGACATAGTTAGGCATCCTTCAGTCTCGAAAGACTATGGTAACATGCGCTGTATGGAGGACTTGGAACAGCGTCTAGTGTGGCTGAGGAGGCCAATCCGAGAATGACAATCTCTTCCACACTGAAGACAAATACAATCTGTTCCCTGTCCAGCTCCCTGGTTTTGCTGCTTTTGTGACTTCCTCTTTGCCTCGGCCTGCTGGGCAAGAGTCTCTTCAAACTGGGAGAGGCCGTGATGCACTGCCTGCCTCCAGGCTGAACGCTCAGATGTCAAGGATTCCCATCTGTTGAGGTCTATTCCTAAGGCCTTCAGATCCCGCTTGCAGATATCCTTTTATCGCAGCTGTGGTCTCCCTCTGGGGCAATTTCCCTGCACTAATTCTCCATACAGTGACATAACCATTCATCAATTGATTCAACAGGTCCCTTTCAGTTGAAATTAACAACTGAATTTAGGCCTGTGGGTTTACTTTAAATATGAATTGAACCCATTCTTTAGTCTGGGGCAAAATTCAAGGAATATCAACTAAATATAAGGCAAATTCCCCAAGTCTTGCTGGTGTTGATTTAGGACATATTCTAGGGAAAAATGTTTTATAAATGATAATGAGAAATCAATAAAATATTTAAGAAGAACTTTGGTAAAAGACAGAAAGAGAGGGGAAGACAAATCTGCGCTGGGAACAGGTCATGGGAAGGCTACAGAGGGGGAAAAAACAATATTTTTCATTAATTCTGTTGTCAGCATTCTGCAACACTTACCAATATAATGAAGAATGGCAGAGAAAGAATTAGAAGGAAAGGGTGGGTGACACTACAAAAATCACAAACATTAGAAAGCTTTCAACCTCATACAGATCTTCATCAGACTGGGCAACGCAGAGCTGTGGATGGTGCAGAAAAAACATACAAGTTCTCAGAAATCATGGGCAAATGTGTGTGTATTAAAAGTCACTTTCAAAACAGGGGGTTGCAGTTTTAATTAGCACATGCTGAACACACACAGAACAGCTAAGCATACAATTACAACTGAGCTAAATGCTTTCTAAAATCAACAATGTGTATTCCCATAGTACTAGAATATGACATGACTAGAGATGTAAAATTTACTAAAATATCCACCCACCCACCCTAAATTTTCTGGGTGGGGGACTTTTTTCCATTTTCCCCCCCAGAAAAAAAGGGGGGAAATGGAAAAAATTGATTTTTCCGGAAATTTTACATCTAGACATGACAGGAAGTTTGTGCCTCTCCAGATGTTGTTTGACTATGGCCAGAACTCTGTGAGTGATTTACATGTGTGTAAGTCACACTGCACAACTCACCACAGTGAATTCTCACTAACTAACAAACCATCAGATACATTATTGCCTCTTGCACATTAGGTGGGTATCTCATTACACAACTGGTACCTCATTAGTCAGTGGCAATCTGCCACACTGAGGTGTGCAGTACACATGCATAAATCACCAACAAGATTTTAGCCTGAAATTCCCAGGATCCACACCCAATAACAGAGATCATGGGAATTGTAGTTTACCAGCATTAAAGGGTCACAGTCTATGGATGCTTTCTCCTGGCTTGGCTGTTAAGGCCTTCATTGCACCACTACCATATCCCACTCATAAGAATTATCATCACTTTGCATTGTTAATTTTTGCACTATATAACAATAATTCTTCGTAGGTCCTTCATCTTTGTTATGCCTTGGAATTGTCTTTGGGACATTGATATCAGCAAGCATATCTCTCAAGTGCATTTTGATCTTTCTGATACTCTCAGGTAATTTCCTAGTTTTCTTGTACAATACGGGCGAAAAAGATGATGCGTAAAGCTCAACGTTATAATCCATCTGGCTATGTGCCGCACAGATCCTGCATCTAAAGAGCAGGTGGTCTAACAAAAACAATAGAGATAATTCCCGGACTCGTATCTAGGTGTCTTTTTCCTGCAATAGATTAGAAAAGCAAGGGTAGAAGTTAGGTAGACTTCCAGATGTTGTTGGCCAACAGCTCACATTAGCCTTATGTGTTGTTGTTGTTGGTGGTGGTGATGTTTGTCATCAAACTGCACATTTATTTTGTTGGCTTTATGAATGGGTGGCCTCCAAAATGTCTTATCATTAACAGCTGTGCTCAGCTCGTACAAACTCAAAATTATGGCTTTTTTTATGGACACAATCCATCTCAAATTTGCTCTTTCTCTTTTTCCTGCTGCCTTCATCTTTCCCCAGCATCATTGTCATTTCCAACAGAAACGAATAGTGGGAATTTCAGTCCAGTTACATCCGGGGGGCCAGATGTTTACCCTTTCTGTCTTCAGAACTAGAGGTGGAACTGAACCCACAGTCTTACCGAAGGGTGAGAAGAACCAACAAAACAGATACAGTTGGTAGAACACATCTCCCCACATCTAAACCCTCAGCCAAGGGAAGACCCTCTAGAGCTGAGTGGGATTTACAAAAGCTGATGCAGAATTTTGTGGCAGCAGAGGTCTCCAGGGGAAGGACAGGAAGTGACATTGCATGAGCAGATCCATCACCCTCAAGGACTGACTGAAACTTTTCTAGATTAGCATCCACTTTTTAATATACATGAAGTGTTGTGTGTATTTCACGACTGAATGCTCCTTTTTTCCCCTTTTGCTATGCACCCGACAGATATAAAACAGTCCCTGATTTTCGGACTCACGATTCTAGCAGAGTGGAAAATGTTGAGTTGGAGGGAGGGAAGGAGAGAGGGAACATGGGAGAGGCAAATGAGCTGGTTTCTTCTGAACCAAAGCACTGATCTTTCTAAACCCAATTTTGTCAGTGGTCCTCCACGATTTTCATGTAAGATTCTTTCACAACCATAACACTGCCTACATTCCCTGATCATCTCCCCTCCAACTACTCACCTGGGCTGACCCTGCTTATCTTCTAAAATCACAGGACCTGCATGGGTATGTATTGACATGTGCATATATGGTTCAGCCAACTAAGAATAACGTTTACAGCAACTGATGGAATGGACTCTAATACAGTATATGAAAACTAATGCATCTGGACAAACCTGCATGCAGCTTTAAATTTAACAGAGGCTTGTATAAGAGAAAAAAAGTGGGGGGGGGATGGTGACTCTGTTCTAACATTACACTTCTTTCCTAAGCACCCCAGGGCCCTGTTAAGGAAAACAATAGGCAAGCTTTCCTGGAAAAATGCATTCCTTGCAGATCAGCTAAGCATTACGCAACAGGTACTGTAACTCGAAATTCATTCCTCATTGGTCATCACACTGAAATAAATTCAACATTAGTTTCACATGGAGTAAATCAGTTGAAACGAATTCCAGTTCTTTAGTTCCAACTGATTTAAATGCTCACTAGAAGGACAGATCCTGAAGCTGAGGCTCCAATACTTTGGCCATCTCATGAGAAGAGAAGACTCCCTGAAAAAGACCCTGACGTTGGGAAAGTGTGAAGGCAAGAGGAGAAGGGGACGACAGAGGACGAGATGGTTGGACAGTGTCATCGAAGCTACCAGGATGAATCTGACACAACTCCGGGAGGCAATGGAAGACAGGAGGGCCTAGTGTGCTCTGGTCCATGGCGTCACAAAGAGTCGGACACGACCTAACGACTAAACAACAACAATAATTTACGTGCCATTGATTTCAATGGTCCTGCTCTATGCAGGATTAATGTCACACATAGGCTCTTAAATCTTATGGATCTAAATTGGTCCAGGATGTGCAAGAAAAACTCAACTTTGGGTGCCCAAGGTGACATCCCAAGATGAATTCTAGAGCTGCTTTTTCTAATAAATTTGTTGTTCTGTGTCATCTAGTCCACCCCAACCTATGGTGACCACATGAATAAATGATCTCCAAAATGCCCTTTCCTCAACTGCCCTACCACCCCAATTTATGGTGACCACAGGAATAAATAATCTCCAAAATGCCCTGTCCTCAACTGCCCTGCTCAGCTCTTCTAAACTCAACCGTGAGGCTTCCTTTAGGCAGTCTGCTCTTCCTCTTTTCCTGCTGCCCCTCCACCTTTCCCAGCATTATTGTCTTTTCCAGAGAATCCTGTAATCTCGTTATATACCCAAAGTAGGACAGCTTCAGCTTCAACATTCCACGATGTACCCATAGTAGGACAGCTTCAGCTTCAACATTTTTGCCTCCAGAGATAGTTCAGGCTTGATTTGAGCCAACTCAATCACTTAGTGCCTTTTGATTTTTCTTTTTAAATAACCCCATGAATACCAGGTGAAACACAAGGATTTATGTTCCAGCCCACTGATGGCCATGAACTACTAGTCCCACTCCATAATCACCCTGGAAATGTACACATCCCCTTGATCCAGTTTGCTTTCACGCATCTGCCCAAAGGCAATGTATGATCCTTCCTTATCAGAATTAAGTATTTTCATTATGTATCAGGGAAGATCCATGACAGCAGAAATATCAGAAAGCACAAAAACAGGATTTAAAATGGTGATGACACAGCAAAGGAAAACTTAGAGCATTGTTTTGTTTTTGCCCTGTTCTCAGTTCATATTTTTTTTTAATGACAGCATCTGATGTTCCAAAATGGTAACCAACCTTTCATGTCATGGTTGCTCTCAGTTCCTCTTCCTTTGCTCAAATGAAGATGTAAGCCAGTTTTGGTTCCCTACTAGTTCTGTTGTGTAGAGAGTCCTTGATCTAAACACATACTCTGAGTGGCTTCTTAGCCTTCATGAGCAGCAGAAAAATGTTTCGTTATTGGTCTGCTTTAGTAGCACTGTGTGGCTTCTGCAGGTCAAACCACATAAAACAACTTGACAGGACGATTACCACAGTTGCCTTTGACACTATCTAGATTTCATTCAGAGTGGAAAGAAAATTAAAGAACTTCAGGTCAATATGCAAGAAACATTGATCTTGTATTATGAAAGAGGACTGGTCTCTTTTTGGCCCTTCAAATTGCCAGAGAGCAGTTCCCATCATCTCTCACTATGTGGATAGGATAGGACTGATGGAACATGCGTTTATTTGTTTGTTTGTTTGTTTGTTTGTTTGTTTGTTTGTTTAGAATATTTTTACCTTTCTCCACATAAGGACCCAAGGTGTATTACATCGTTAAAAGAAAATATTAACACTAACAATAGTGAGTACACAAATACTAAAAAAAAGATCAAACACATACCATATAAAAAGTGTAAGCAACACCAAAAGACATTCAAAGCAGCATAGTACAACCATCCATTTAAAACCGCATGTGGGCAGCCAGCCACTGAGGTAAATCACGCCTGAAGAGAAAGATGTTCACCTGCTTGCAGAAGGATAGCAAAAACGGGGTCAGCCTGGCCTCTTGTGGGAGTGAGTTCCAAAGTCTGGGAGCAGCAACAGAGAAGGTTGTCTCTCATGTCCCTACCAAACACACCTGTGAAGGTGGCAGGACCAAGAGAAAAGCCTCTCTTGGTGATCTCAACTTCCGAGCTGGCTCATAAAAGAAGATGCCGCTCTTGAGATAGCTTGGGCCCAAGCCATTTATGGCTTTATAGGTTAGAGCCAATACCTTGAATTCAGCCCTGAACGTCAACAAAGGGAAGGTCACGAATTACCCACTCTGGCTTTAAAAGCTCAATAGTGGCACATGTCCAGTGCAATCTTAAATGCATTTATTATTGAAGTAAACCCTGGTCAGTTCAGCAGGCATTACTCCTAGATTAATTAATTACTCCAGTCAATTCTATCTATCTATCTATCTATCTATCTATCTATCTATCTATCTATCTATCTATCTATCTATCTATTTATCTCTATTTATTTTAATTTTTCCCCCATCTTGTAGAATTTGTCATTTAATGTAATAATTTTTCTGTTGCATTTGTTTGTTGTTTTTATGTATGTATCTGGAAGTTGCCTAGAGTGATCGCAAGACCAGTGGGATATAAAATAAATAAATAAATAATGTGTGGGGACAGTGAACTGTCCAGTTGCCTGTTCCGTTCTGGTTTCTGGGCTCTTCTCTGCCCCAGCACCCCTGCTGAAATGGGATGTCCAACTCCTTGGCTCACTTTTCCCCACTGAAAATGAAGGGAGGGAGGGAGGTAGCCAACCAGCCAGAAAGGGCCACAAAAAGAAGAAAAAAGTGCACACCCCAAATTTACTTTTGATTCCGAGAAGCTGAGCCCCCAAAATATCATATCCTACTGCCCCAGTTCCTCCATCATCCTTCCCAATAGAATTGTTCTTCCCTCACATTTGGGACACCTCTCCTCACAAAAAGAGGTACACAGATAATGTGAGCCTTTCTCCTTATAGTTTGCGCTTTTTTTTTTCACTCTGAGCCTTGTTGTCCAGCAAGCAGGCCAATTGCTCTCCGCTGTTTAGCATCCCTGCTCCCTCAAGGGCCTTCAAAAAAGCGAGTAATTTGTTATGTGGTGATTCAGGTTAAAAAGAATTTTAAGTTAAGTGTCTGGAAAAGGAAACTCATTTATCTCTACAATAACTGCCTCATGTTATTTGCACTTTGCTAATTTTTGGGCAGGCGTTAAGATGTGGGAATTGTCTAGAAACATTAGTAATGAAAGCTGTTGTTTGTGTTTTCAGGAGTATGAAAGTTAAAGCAAACGCTAAGATATCTACAATCTAGAAACATCAGCTCTGTATGGCTGGGATTTTGCATAATCCATGATAGTATTTAATTACATTGCCTATTTTAGATATTAACAATTGTTCTCCTACTTTAAAAGGAAACAAATTGTGATTTGATTTGTGGCTTGCCTAATCCCCTGACACTTAATAAATATTCCAAAGCAAGGAAGGGTTAAATTAAATGGAGCTCCCTCTCCATTAATAGCAAGGAAGATGAACAGATATAGGTTTTGTTTCTTATGTATTCAATATATGAATGGATTGTGATACTGTCTTTTTCCTTACTTTCTCTTCCTTACAGCAAGCCTGAGTTTAGATCCGAACACAGCGCATCCTCATCTCTATGTGTCTGAGGATCTGAAAAGCGTGAAATGGGGAGCCACAGAACAAAATGTGATGAGCAGTTCTATCAGATACAATATTATGGCCAGCGTGTTAAGCCAGGAGGCTTTTACTTCAGGGAGAATTTGCTGGGAAGTAGAAGTGTTGGAACCAGGAGAATGGTGGGCTGTGGGTATTGTTAAAGAGTCTGCAAACAGACAAGGGACCATTTTATTTGCCCCTGAAGGGGGTTATTGGGCTGTCCAGCGCATTAATGGAAAGTACGAAGCAATCACTTATCCTCAGAGGACAAACTTGTCTTTGCATCATGCTCCCACAAGGATCTCAGTTTGTCTAGATTTTCAAGGAGGACAGGTAGCCTTTTTTGATGGAAATACTGATGAAGAATTCTTCACTTTTCCAAAAAGTAATTTTTTGGGAGAGAGGATCCGTGCTTTCTTCTTGGTCTATAATTTGAGCGCTGAGCTCATGATCCATTCTTAAGACAGAACAAGTTCCTCTAAGCTTCATAGACTTACTCTCTGTCATTATCTATGTCCTTGGCATTATTTCTTCAAGAGGTGGTGTTGCCTTAAATTTTGGAGTGATCGCATTTGTTATGACCATTGTCCAGAGCCTGAGAAAGTCACTTTTTTGGACTATAGCTCTACTATGATTATTCCAGGTGGAAGATTCTGCAAGTCATAATCCCCCCAAAAGTAACTTTTCCAAGGCCTGCGGTCTTTTACAGTTACATGCTGTGACAAGATTCCAATGTACCTGGCTTTATCTATATCAACAAATTCTCTGTCAGTTCTTGCCTTTAATATGTTTGAATAAATCCATGTGGTATATTTGTATAAATGAATTTATTCTCATTTGATTGATGTGTGGTGTGTCTTTGTCTAAATGCAAAGTTCCATAAGGGAATATTTAATTTTTTTTTCAGTAAGAAGGCACTTCTTATATAAGATACTCATTCTTTTATATTATATGTAGTTTAAAAAAATATGACTAAGGGGTCTTCTGTACAGCCTTGTTCTAACCTGCTTTTTGTAACTTTATTTCAGAACAGCAATAATTTAACAGGATTCATTAAACGATTTCAGTATAAACTACATTAGCTGGATCAGGTGGCTTCCGGCACAGCACAGTGGGAGGAAAGGTGTGTGTTTGGTGCTAATTGTTCCTTAATTGAAGAAAAGCACATTTGCAAAATGAGGAGAAAGGAAAGAAAGCGACACAGCCAGCAGTGGCTTGCCATTTTTGCCCACTTCCCACCTACCGCTGTTGAGCAGTCAAACATCTGGGGGAAGGATCTGTTCTCAATCATCCCAGAGTGCAGGACACCTAATAATGCACTCAGGTTAGAAGAAGCTGAAAACCAAGAAAAACTTTTAAACTGTTAGAGTAGTACAACAATGGAACCAATTACTTTGGTTTGTGGTGAGTGCTCAAGGGAACATTATGCCTTCAGCAGCTGCAAGGAGACACTACACCAATCTCATTGGCTCCAGACTGTGTAAGGAAGGGAGAGAAGAAAAAGTGGTAGAAAGCAATATGACAGGAACATCACTTGGACTCCAAAGGAATTCTCTTACAGTCAGTACTCTGTAAGAGGAGTACATATTCTGTATGGATGAGTCCTCAGCTGATGAAACACATGGAAGAAGAGTCACTGTGGATCAGATCAAAGGCACCTCTAGTTCAGAATTCTATACCTACAGCAGCCAACCAGATTATTACGGGAAGCCCACAGGTGGGACAGGAAATCTTTCCACCCATGACCCATGTTTTTTATGTTCACCTTGCTTTATTTATTCTTGAGGCCTCTCTTCAGTAATAGGCAATTGTGTGCTGTCACTTTTATCCTGACTCGTGGTGATTCTTCTGAGGGGTTTTTAAGTATAAATACTTAGAAGTTGTTTACTATGGTGTAAGTGACCCCAGAAGGCCCCTCCATGACTCACAGGTTGAATTGCAGCAAAACAAGGTGGTTTTTTGTTTTTGTTTTTTCAAAACTAGAAATTAATGTAAGAACCATACCTAGCAAAGAGTAAAGGGTATGTCCTAAATTAACTCTCCTAGTATACAGTAGGAGGCCCACTGCTCCTTTTCTTCACTGGGGGTGGGGGAAGGACAAAGCTTTTTTCCTCATTGGAAAAAGGGCAGGCAGGCGGGCGGGCGGGG